TCCAGCCACTTCAGCAGGCACCTGCGGGCGGGAATGTGGGAATTCTCCGATCCCGAAAAGGAATTCTCCTCTCTCAAAAGGGAATTCTCCTCTCTCAAAAGGGAATTCTCCGCTCCCAAGCAGCAATTCCCTGATCCCGAATGGGAATTCCCCGATCCCGAAAGAGAATTCCCTGATCCCGAAAGGGAATTCTCCGCTCCCGAACGGGAATTCTCCACTCCCGAATGGGAATTCTCTGCTCCCGAATGGGAATTCCCCGATCCCGAACGGGAATTAATTCCCCGATCCCCGAAAGGGAATTCTCCACTCCCGAAAGGGAATTCTCCTCTCTCAAAAGGGAATTCTCCACTCCCGAGCAGCAATTCCCGATCCCGAACGGGAATTTCCCGATCCCGAAAGGGAATTCTCCACTCCCGAACAGCAATCCCCGATCCCGAAAGGGAATTCCTCGATCCCGAAAGAGAATTCCCTGATCCTGAACAGGAATTCTCCGCTCCCGAACGGCAATCTCCGATCCCGAACGGGAATTTCCCGATCCCGAATGGGAATTCCCCAATTCCGAACGGGAATTCTCCACTCCTGAAAGGGAACTCTCCGCTCCCGAATGGGAATTAATTCCCTGATCCCCGAAAGGGAATTCTCCACTCCCGAAAGGGAATTCTCCACTCCTGAAAGGGAATTCTCCACTCTGGAACAAGAATTCCCCGATCCCGCAAGGGAATTCTCCGCTCCCAAATGGGAATTCTCCGCTCCCGAACAGCAATCCCTGATCCCGAAAGGGAATTCTCCGCTCCCGAATGGCAATCTTCGATCCCGAAAGGGAATTCTCCACTCCCGAAAGGGAATTCTCCACTGTCGAGCAAGAATTCCCTGCTCCCAAATGGGAATTCTCCACTCCCAAATGGGATTTCTCCACTCCCGAACAGCAATCCCCGATCCCGAACGGGAATTTCCCGCTCCCGAAAGGGAATTCTCCACTCTCAAATGGGAATTCTCTTCTCCCGAAAGGGAATTCTCCAGTCCTGAAAGGGAATTCTCCACTCCTGAACTGGAATTCTCCGATCCCAAAAGGAATTCCTCGCCCCCGCCCCGCTCTGCCAGCCCCACTCACTTTCTGTGNCCCGGCCCCGCCATGGGTTTGTTGCACATGGGGCACACGCAGCGCACTTCCAGCCACTTCAGCAGGCACCTGCGGGCGGGAATGTGGGAATTCTCTGATCCCAAAAGGGAATTCTCTGCTCCTGAACGGGAATTCTCCTCTCTCAAAAGGGAATTCTCTGTTCCCGAGCAGCAATTCCCGATCCCGAATGGGAATTCCTCGATCCCGAAAGAGAATTCCCTGATCCTGAACGGGAATTCTCCGCTCCCGAACGGGAATTAATTCCCCGATCCCCGAAAGGGAATTCTCCACTGTCGAGCAAGAATTCCCTGCTCCCAAATGGGAATTCTCTGCTCCCAAATGGGAATTCTCCGCTCTCAAAAGGGAATTCTCCACTCCTGAACGGGAATTTCTCGATCCCGAAAGGGAATTCTCCGCTCCCAAATGGGAATTCTCCACTCCCAAATGGGAATTCTCCGCTCTCAAAAGGGAATTCTCCACTCCCGAGCAGCAATTCCCGATCCCGAACGGGAATTTCCCGATCCCGAAAGGGAATTCTCCGCTCACAAACGGCAATCCCCGATCCCGAATGGGAATTCCTCGATCCCGAAAGAGAATTCCCTGATCCTGAACAGGAATTCTCCGCTCCCGAACGGCAATCTCTGATCCCGAAAGGGAATTTCCCGATCTCGATAGGGAATTCTCTGCTCCCCAATGGGAATTCCCCGATCCCGAACAGGAATTCTCCACTCCTGAAAGGGAACTCTCCGCTCCCGAACGGGAATTAATTCCCTGATCCCCGAAAGGGAATTCTCCACTCCCGAAAGGGAATTCTCTGCTCTCAAACCAGAATTCCCCGCCCCCGAAAGGGAATTCTCCACTCCCAAATGGGAATTCTCCGCTCCCAAACAGCAATCCCCGATCCCGAAAGGGAATTCTTCGATCCCGAAAGGGAATTCTCCACTCCTGAACGGGAATTCTCCTCTCTCAAAAGGGAATTCTCCACTCCCGAGCAGCAATTCCCGATCCCAAATGGGAATTCCCCGATCCCGAAAGAGAATTCCCTGATCCTGAACGGGAATTCTCCGCTCCCGAACGGGAATTAATTCTCTGATCCCCGAAAGGGAATTCTCCACTGTCGAGCAAGAATTCCCTGCTCCCAAATGGGAATTCTCTGCTCCCGAATGGGAATTCCCCGATCCCGAACGGGAATTCTCCACTCCTGAAAGGGAACTCTCAAAATTAATTCCCTGATCCCCGAAAGGGAATTCTCCGCTCCCAAAAGGGAATTCTCCACTCTCGGACAAGAATTCCCCGCTCCCAAATGGGAATTCTCTGCTCCCAAATGGGAATTCTCCACTCCTGAATGGGAATTTCTCAATCCCGAAAGGGAATTCTCCGCTCCCAAATGGGAATTCTCCTCTCTCAAAAGAGAATTCTCCACTCCCGAACAGCAATCCCCGATCCCGAACGGGAATTTCTCGATCCCGAAAAGGAATTCTCCGCTCCCAAATGAGAATTCTCCACTCCCGAAACGGAATTCTCTGCTCCCGAAAGGGAATTCTCCACTCCCAAATGGGAATTCTCTTCTCCCGAAAGGGAATTCTCCACTCCTGAACTGGAATTCTCCGATCCCAAAAGGAATTCCTCGCCCCCGCCCCGCTCTGCCAGCCCCACTCACTTTCTGTG